ATTCTGAAGACGAGGTCTGGTTGCGAGGGTACAACCAAAGTGAGTTGTACGAGGCTCAGGGTTCAGGAGTTCAGGGTCAGGGTTCAGGGGTTCAAGAGGACGCCAGATAGTAGAGAGTATAATTCCTAGGTACAGGTGTCCGAAGGAGATTACCAGATTGTGTAAAGAAAGTAAAATATAAAGGGGCACACCCCTTTATATACTAAGGAAATCCTCCATGATCACTAACACAAAAGAAAGTTCTTGGCGTCGTGCACAGCCACGATTCTTCCGTCCGGTTCCGCCATCTTCCGCTGCATAGCAACGCATCCCAATCACCTATACAAAGGAAACCCAACTATGCAACTTAAGGAAACCACAACCAATATATGCAACCCGAAATCCATGCACATTCCGTCTCCATAGTCGGGTGGCTGTGACACCTAGGTACTGTTGGAAAGCTGGTGTCAAGTAAAATCAGCCCACTGAGTCTCAGACACTTTGTCCACAGAACGCCCAAGGAATCTGGTATTAAAGTCAGCAATCTGCCAGAACTCTGCCAGGGTAAAGATGACTTTCATAACAGGCTGTAGCTCTATTAATATTGGTGTTGGGTAGATGTACTAGGTACTATTGGAAAGCTGGTGTTAAGTAAAATCAGGCCACTGAGGCTCAGATGCTCTGCCAAAAGGACACCCAAGGAATCTGGTATCAAAGTCGGCAATGCGCCAGAACTCCGCCAAAACTCTGCAAGAGTAAAGACCACTTCTATGACAGGCTGTAGCTCCACCAATACTGATGCCAGGCAGACGTCCAGAGCACCATTGGAAAGCTGGTATTGAGTAAAACCTGGCTGGTAAGTCTCAGATGCTGTGTACTAAGAACACCTGGGAAATCTGGCATCAAAGTCAGCACTCCTCCAGAACTCCTCTAAAACTCTGCTAGGGTAAAGACCACTTCCATGACGGGCTGTAGCTCTACCAATATTGATGCCGAGCAGACGTTCAGGACACTGTTGGAAAGCTGGTGTCGGGTAGAATCTGGCTGGCAAGTATCAGATGCTGCACCCATAGGACGCCCATAGAATCTGGCGTCAAAGTCAGTACTCTACCAGAACTCTATCAAAACTCTGCTAAGGTAAAAACCACTTCTATGACAGGCTGTAGCTCCACCAATATTAATGCCAGGCAGACGTTCCAGATACTGTTGGAAAGCTGGCATTGAGTAGGAATAGAACGCCAAGTAACAGATGCTGTGCCCAAAGGGTGCCTGAGAAATCATGTATCAAAGAACCTTGCCTACTGGTACAACAGGTACTAGTAAAGAAAACAATAAAGTCTGGAATGCAGGGGAGGTGGCAGGGTGGCAGGTAGTATGCAGAATACTGGTAGGGGGGCGGAGCTAGTAGGGGAGTGGTGTAGGTACCAGGGGAGCCAGTAGGGGGGGAGCTGGTAGGGGGTAGTAAAGGGAGAGTGGCTGGCAGCTATGTTTATCACTCAGAATCTCAGGATAGGAACTAGTTGGCCTCACTTACTCAGGATGCAATCTGGATGTACCACTTCCTAGCCTTAGTACCAGGATATATGGGACACAACCAGACTTGGCACCCAAGTACCAGATACACTGGATGCACAGGACACAGCATCCTCTCAGCCTGCATCAGGATGCACGGCTCACATGTCTGATACAGAATTTATTTTTGCTGATGGGCATCTTACTACCTCAATTGTTGATTGTCCCAGAGGACACACAGTCACTAGCACACCTACCACATACCTCATCTCCTTGCTTCTCGGTTGCTGCCTTCAGGGCAGTTTCCCTTATACTCTTTACATGCAAGGCTTTGGCTCCCTCCTCCTGGCCCTTATCATATGGCTAAAGAGTTCCTTTCATGAGATTTTGAGTTGTGATTGTTAGCCCTTAGGGGTTCAGTTTAGGTTTCTGCCTTTATGTGTTTTATTCTTGAAGTTGAAATGCATTCTTGGTTCACTGTTAGATAGCTAGCTTTTTTTTGTCGTTTGGCAGTAGGGGTTATTGAATAGAGCAGTTTATGGGCAGGATTTCAGGTAGGAGTAGTTTTTTATACCCCAGAGGGTTTTTTTAGCTCTGTCATTTGACCTGGGGCCAGGGCAGATGGTTTTTTGGCATCATAGCTAGTGCTCCACATGCCTTTTATACCTTAAACAGAATCCAAATAAGTTAAACAAAAAAAAATCCCTAGCTTTAAGTCTATTATTAGTGACCAGAGAAGAGATCTTATCAATATATTTATTCTACTTTACTTCTATTTTAACAAGCCTTTTTGACTATCTCCAAGACAGAAGATTAATAGACCTAGTATGTACTTGCTTGACTTTAGAGTTACCTACCCCTAATAAGAGTACTAGGTTGCATCCCAACTTTGAGTGCCATGAACTATTCAAGTTGTTTCTTCAGTCGTAGTTTGTATCCTGTGCATCAGACTTACAGGATAGACAGGAGTAAGCTTTTATTTTTGCTGATAAGAATACTTACCAAGTACTAATATTAGTAGAGTTACAGCTTGTTAAGGAAGTAGTCTTTACTCTGACCAGGTTCTGGCAAGGTTCTGACCAAGTGCTGACTTTGATACTAGATTCCTTGAGCATCATTTAGGAGCAGCACCTGATACTTACTCTTTAGGTTCTACTTGATTCCTGCTTTTTAATAGTATACTAAATATCTACCCAGTACCAATATTAGTAGAGGTATACTCTAGGATGGAAGTAGTATTTAAGCAGGATTTATAGTATGGGTTAGGAGAAATCTTTTCTTTCTGTCCTATTTATTATAAAACTAATATAACTTGAAATGTTCTTTATTTTAAATGAGTTATAATCTACATGATGCATGACTTAGTTATAAGATTCAGTTCTAGTATTGTATCCTATAAATTGTAGTAGTAATTACTTACATCCTGAGTTCTGGTACCAAGGACTATTGTATCCTGAGCTCTGGTTGCTACCCTCTTATATCCTAATTAATAGTTTGTGTCTTGCTAATGTACATCCTATATATCAGATATACAGGACATACAGAATGCAAGCTTTTATTTTTGCTAATACAAAAGCTCACAAGTTTGATAATTTGACTACATTTTACAAGAGGAGTAGAAGACCTATATATTTTCTGACAGGCAATTCTGACAACTTCAATATAAAGGCTATGAGAACCTTCTGGCTACTGGCTTTATATTATATTGAGGGCAAGTTTTTACAAACAGTGCACTGACTTTTACTCAGATTATCCTTACAAGTACTACCACTCTTATTATAATCACTATTACTATCATTGGCTACATTTTCCTCTTTATGCTATATGTATAGTTCTTGGTTAAAAGTCATTGTTTGTACGTCTAAGTACCACCTGAAACACACTAAAATCAATGGAGATTAGGGCTTGGGAAATCCTAATTTACATCTCCACTTCTTAACCAATTAACTTTAAAATTCATTTATAGCTAGCCAAAGAACTAGTGATTCTAAAGTTCATATTTCTATAACAAATCTCTTTATTCTGTGTACAACACTTATCATCTAGAGTGACTGATTCAAAAACTGGAGAGATAAGCACTAAGAATTTGTATGGTTCCCCACAGAAAAAGATACCTGTTTTTAAAATCACTAATTTCACACCACTACAGTTCACACAATATTGCATCATATGTTTCAAGATTTTAATACTGTGAATTCAATACTCAGAATCATCATTTCCATAAGAATTGATTTAATTGCACAGCAAGTAGTGGAGTGTCGATGTTGTGGAAAACTGTACTTTTGGTGTAAAAGTGGCCATCAACGATGACATTTGTCACCTTACTGTATTATGTCTTCATAATTCTTGCATACTTGCCGTTACTTTTATAGCAACCGCATTCCGAATACGCGATCAGAATACAAGTACTTGTATAGCATTGCACGTTTGGGGGGAATTGAAGCGGTCTGTGGAGCCACTTTCTATCATGACTACCGGTACGCCCTCTAGGCACCCGTAGCGTTATGCTTTTCTAGTGACTGTCCCGGGAATGTTTCCGTCTTATACACATGTTTGGTTTAGTTTGCGGGTTTTTTGCATGGGCTTATTTTATTGTGTGATATTGTGAATTTCCTAGAGGAAGGGGTTCGCTTTTTTTTTTTGCGGATCCTGGTTGCGCAATAACATTCACTGGGAGGAGGGGGCGATACAGTGCTGAAAGTAGAGGTTTTACTCTATAGAACCAGCTATACTTGGGCACTGGTGCTGAGATTGTATACAGATATTGTACCTTTAAACAATCATAGGGCTTAACAAAAAAATGGGTACTGGCGCTGTGAATTCTCGAGTTCGGTGGCCCGCCAAGTTCATATCAGAGAACTTTGGAGAGGGAGAAGGGGATTCGCAACTTTCAATCTAGCGAGTGCTCTCGCAGTCCTCGGGAGATCTACGAAATACAAATAATCTCGGATTTAAGGGTGCTAGGATGGCCTCATAGCGCAGTTATATGTGCGGGCATCTGGAAAGTGGTCTGACTCAGCAATCCCGACTAGGGGGACAGGGAACTCATGCCATTGTGCGATTTCATCCAAAGGTACAAAATGAGGAGGGGTATACGATAGGGATATCGCTAGGAAATATGTTCTAAAAAACAAGGTATAAATGTCAAAGGCAATCCAATCATTCATCTCCCAATTCCTGATACCATCCGCCTCGTCTTCGTCATCACCACCTAGATCCCCCAAAATCGCAGCTTCGTAGGCTTCTTGTCCTTGCCTTCTCTGCCTTCTACTGCTGCCATAATGTTATCCGGAGATGGTTGCCTAAGGAACGTTGGCCTATCTGGCGTATCGTGGGCTAGGCCACAAACCGTCCTGAAATCGCCGGCGATCCCCCCCCTTCTCTTCACATGCTCTAAGAAGCCGTTCAACGGACAGCTCTTCCCTGGCCCATCCATACAGCCTGTTAATGGCACAATCCCATCATTGACGTTGAACCTGACAAATATCTCTTTTTCTAAGGATTTGCTCTTCGGGGTGCACGATAGACGCTCGAAAATGATACGACCACCCATGGGGGTTATTTGCGATGTCTTCCATTTCCTATCCTCCATTATTTCATCAATAGGGAGGTCCTGGGTGTCTTCGAAAATTCCCGATGCTGCCAACATGGGCACAATGTCTCCATCGTGGACACTAACTCACGGTCAGTTTGGGTCACAGTGTTGTGGGCAGGTATGAAACAGATTCAGACGCACAAACTGAAGTAAAGCGGGCCAGCCGATTCGGGCCCCTCTGCGATCAAGTTCGCGGTTGCGTTTAACCAAAGCCAACCCATTGCCTTTCCATACTTGTTGCCGGGTCTAGGACCGTTAGCCATTGAATTATTAATTCAGAATTGATCGTAGGTGGACAAACCCAGCCCTATAGTAATGAATTATGTCCCTCGCATACTCAAATTGGGACCATTCTTTCTTTGTGAAAACATCACACCATTTACTGTTCCCTCGCACAGTGATCTCAAAACCACACATCTCCTGCATGCTGTAGATCTCCGAATCTATGGTAATACGCCAATAAGCAGGGTGTGCATAGGACAAGGTTCAAAGCATATCGTGGGAAAATAATATACCGGAAAACTGCAAGCCAGGATTTTCTTTCTCAAGTCGGTGAGCGATAGCTGGGAGGTAAGTCGCACGGTATTTGTAGAGCATCTCATAGCCGTAATCGTGGCCCAGTTCCGGGTCGTCGACATAATTCTTACAAGTGTCACTGTATCCGCGTCAGCGTTGGTTGTATCGCTCCACACGATCCCTCGGCTCGAGCAAAAGCCGTAACAAATAATTCATAGCATCAGAAAAACCTACCCCGGGGTCAATGTGTCTCCAGCTTTACTTTCATCCTCACTAATGATCTGGAGCTCTGCGCGCTTGCTATCGAGGCCGAAAAACCCTGCGCCAAAGTATCTTGCTGTGTCGATTACACGATCGCACTCGCTGGCCCAAAACAAGGTATGCCTATTAAGGATCTTTTCCCATAAATGCTGGTACCGAGTGCGAAGCTTGACTCCAGTAGTGAATGCTTCTAAAGTTCCCGAGTAAGGGCCGGTGGTAGTGAGTTGTTCGAAATGTTTCTCGGGCGCTATATGAGAATTAGAATAGTCTATCACCTATCCAACGTAATTTACCCACAAGGTGAACCTACAGTCCGTGAAATATTGCCAATCACCCAAGAAGGAAAGAGAACCCTTCGGCTCAACGCCCGAAGACTTTATTTTCTCTAGGAGCGCGATCATTCCTAGACTCACGATCCGTAAACTTTCAACCCTTCATTGTAACTGCGGGTTAGATTTTGCTTACGGGCACCGGCATTTTTTGTAGGAAATCGTTCGCCATGACGTGACATCTAGCGGTGAGAATCCAAGAATTAGGATATAATCTTCCCAAAGGATGTCATGATGGAGGCTTTATTCAAGGCGGAGAACCCTACCATATGTGCCATATCAATCTCACAGCCATCAGGAACTTGAATTCCCCCCTCTACCACACCGTCGACTTTTTCCACCCATGGGCCGTTTCCTCCAAGATGATAAAGTATGTTCCATTCTTCTTTTTGCTCCGGGCAGTTGGATGCACCCTGGTAGGCAGGCTCCAGCTCCCAGCCATGGTGATTTGTTTGGAGGTACGTTGGTAAAACTTGTTGCAAGGAGTTTGGCAGCGAGTAGCCCGGTTGAGGGTTGAGTAGAAAAACAACCGATGCAAGCAGGCAAATCATTGCTGATACAGTGAATAGCAACAACGACATCTGAATAAGTAAGTATTTAAGCCGCCTGGGAGATATCGCAACTTGTCTGAAGTTGACATTCATTTTTTTCTTCGCTCCAGGCAAGCTGGCGCGCCTCCTGCCTCAGCTGTGAGTCCCCAGATCCGGATTAGCTCGAGGATGACTAATGACACGGGTGAAGAGCCTGATCAGGGTCCTCTCACATGCCGGAGCCAGTGCCCTGTACTAGTACGCCTGGTCGCCCACCCGTTGCCCTGTCTCCCAGAACGCCCAGGCATGGGCTGCCAAGCACCCAGGCTCATTGCGACGACAGACTGGATCAGCTGTGGGCAGCCAATGGACCGCCGCATGGGTTAGGGTTGGACGGATAGAATGATACTTGTACCCCAGCCACCGGTACCGTACCGGTATTGTGAGGTTTTAGTTTATCTGGGATGGGCAAGGAAGAACTTACCCGGACGAAATTTAGTGACATCAGCGAACCTCATTTCTTAAACAACCTCCCCCGGCGCTCGACCAACGTTTTTGACCAATATGCTCGTCAACTACTCTGATAGCGAATCCGACTCGGGAGGTCAAGAACCCGACCCATCTCCTCAGAGGTCCTCACTTTCCAGAAAAAAGATAGGGTTGTCCGCTCTACTCCCAAAACCAAAAGGGCCACAGAAAATCGGCCAGGATGGCGACATTGTCGCTGCTGGCCCCCAAAAGTTTATTGTCAATCTCCCGAAGCTCGACACGCAGGGTGACAATGCAGACGGCCCACCGGCAAAAAAGATACGGACTGGCGGAGGTGGTTCTGGATTAAGCGCAATGTTGCCTGCTCCGAGAAGATCAGGGGCTACAGCAAGGGCTGACCCCAAACCATCACCTTCTCCAATTGAACATGGGACGGACAGAGAGGCAGGTGAAGCTGTGAGAGAACTAACCCCAGCTGGTCGAGCTGTAAGCAGCCCAGCTGTGTTCGTACCGCAGTCAGTAGCTAGAAACCCCATCCAACCAGCAAGCGCATTCAAGAGGCCTTCGGGGAATGGAGCAGTGAAGGCTAGAAGTCAAGTGCCCGCCAAAAACAAAGTCTCCCTATTTGGGGCAGGTGAGTCTGGTCATATACTATATACTATATCGTCTGTTAGCGGAGGCTTACTGTTCCCGAAACTAGGAACGAAATCTTCTGCATCAAACAGGCCAAACAAGAGGACTGTACCGGCCGGCGAATATAAACCTATAATGGTTTCCGCAGCGAAACCAGCCAGCAGGCCACAGGGTGCGGATGGCAGTGAAGAAGACCCTTATAGAAGCGTTGGAGATGATGTCCCGGTAACAGTCGCAGATGGGGAGACTTCTTACCCAGCTCAGGTTGATCATCGGGATGCACCGGAGGACCTTGACGAAATCGCCCGGCAAGCAGGATTGGATGATTCCGCCGTAAGCTCTTTACTATCGCTCGTGCTCCGCTGGATTCTGACAAGAAATAGATGCGTCAGCTCTATGGCCGCCGTGGGCGACAGGATGCGCCGATCCCCATATCTACATTTAGCGTTGATGAGGAATACAACAGTAATGAATTGAAGCGGTCGTTGGGGCTAATGGAAGAGGTGAAACCAGTCAGGAGCATTGCACCGGGGAAACATCAATTGTCTTCCCTGCTCAATGGTGAGTTTGCAGAGCGCTCCCCCGAGAGACTTGGAAGGTATGCATTTCCTGACTTCATGTGTCGTAGCCGCGCAAGCGCAGAGGGGTGCATTGGAGGAAAGCTTTGCTCAGGGAAAAAGAAACAAAAAGGAGGCTGGTTCAAAGTATGGGTGGTAGCCAGCGATGTAATATATAGGTCGGTTGCAAAGAAAGTATTTTTTTTTCAGTGCAATTGCTGTGGGAAGAACATCTAATGGAGACCCTTGTGTTGCGCTAATATTTTTATTTTTTTACCCTTCACTTGCGCGTCCTCTGTGCACAGCTCTTTGGATATCAGATAGCCAGTGAATGAGCCGCGTACTATGCCCCTCTTACCCCCATACGCCACCCCTTGTTCATCGGATCCTTAACGCCGCTGTTCGTTTGTTCCATCCCATCCACTTCCTTCTTCCCGATTTCACCACAAACCTCCACCTCTCCCTCACCCCTTCCCTCCCAGCCATCGCTAGACACTTCTGTGTCTCTCTTTAACCTCCTCTCCGGCTCGCTCCATTACTTTCATCTCCGGAAAAATACATTTGCTTTAACGATTCTAAGTAATTTCTTCATTCCTGGATTTATTGCGGTGGTTTGCACTGGAGGAAAACAAAAATGGCACCCATTGATGGTTCCTTTTTCCATCCTTTTAATCGTTGGCCTTTCACCCCTTGTTTAACTGGAAATGCGACTGCTTCCTCCCCTTCACCTCCTGTTTGCTCTTGCAAGAATTTTCTAGGGGATTCCTTTGGAGAATCTAGCTCTTCCGCTGGACATCGGTGTTTAGCTGGATTCACCCCTCCTACTCCGCAGTCTAGCCAGGAAGCACTGGTTCCTAGTAGGACTGAACCTAATATGAACAAGGATATTTTCGGGAGCTCTGTGGCCGTCGAGTCTCACCGTCTTACATCTGTCCCCGAGAGTTATGAGGCACATCGGAATAATTCATCTGGGAAGGCTGTTGCTAGAAGCTCTGATTTTGTTACGACCGGATTTTTTAAGAATGAAGGTGATATGGCAACCAGAGTCACAATTCCCGATCATCCTGAACCAAAAAAATCCGGCATTGAAACGATCAGGAGTAGCCTGAAATCAAGTGATCTTGGAGCTAGATCTCTGCCGGTGCTTAATCCTGTTGGGCCCAAAACACCACAAAAAAATATCTGGAAGCGTACCTCATCAACTGAACTTGCTAGGGGGGTTTCCGCAAATACTTCCTGGAACAATAATAAGAGCACCCGTCCAATTGATAAGCCTTGGAGGGGACCTTCCGGTTCCGAAACGCGCTCTTCTCAAAAGCTCGCAACCTCTGGTGGTATGGCCAAGGGGCTACCATCTACGGACGGGGGCATACCCCCGTCTTTGAGCATCGGGTCTGGAAGCTGCCTCAAAGAGAATATCCCCAACCGGAAGACAATTCTCGGTTGCTCGCAATGTGTATTCGAACCAAAAATCAAGGTTATTCCTTGCGGCTGCCTTATTTGCCTAGCCTGTGGAGGTAGATTCTGGGGAGCTGGTCGTTGCACTGAAAGTGTTTACTGTGGATGCGGTGAGGTAAGAATATCACTATCTTTTTCTGGCTAGACACGACTCTTAACGCCTATTAGCTTGTCTCATGCATGATCAACTTGGACTCTACAAATCGCCAACAACCGCAGAACTACCAGAGTTTCCCTCAGCCTGCATTCAACCCCCTTCCCAAGTTTTCTGCTGGGCTCGTCGCGGCTAGTACGCCGGTCTCAACTCCTATGCATGCATTTGTGTCTGGCTGGCAAAACAACCAGACTGCAGCGTTTCCATATGACACACCCGCGCCCTCTGTCACTGTCGATAGCCCTCTCCCTTTGCCTGCCGCTGGGGTTGACAGTATTAGTAATTTTTTGCTTATGGATGCTGAAACTGCTATCCAAAATGCGCCGTTGGCGGAACTGGGCAGGTACGGCATGCCTCAGAACTGGGCGTGTGTTAGAGTAGGCAACGTAGGTATCTTTTAATCCGTTTAACGGCCCCAAGCTAATGGACAAGAATAGATTCCTTACAATGTGACAACATCAGAGCTCACAGAGTTTCTGGGTAAGAACTCTAATATCATTCCGGATAGTACGGAGAATGTTGGGGTTCATGTCATCATGGACAGGTCTACAGTGAGTAAACGCTTGGCTTTGGCTACTAGAGTTATATTTACTAATGTATATATATCTAGGGAAAAACTATGGACGCGTTTGTTGAGTTCATGACTCCAAAGGATGCCTGGAAGTGTGTTGCGCGACGCAAAAGTCGTGTGCTCGGGAATAGACACCTCACGCTGGATGTTGTCGACCCCTCCGAGCTCATGAAAGAGATATTTCCAAGGGCGAAGGGTGTAAACTGGGATGGCGTTATTCCCCTTGTTTCTCATGACCCGGAATACTCTGGGAGGAGCCCAGAGATATTGGGTCGAGAGGAGCTAGTATTAATCGTTAATCATGCAAGGACTCCTCATAGGGTTTGTATTTATATTATCTCCCCACAAATAAGGAATCGTGCTAATAGTGTGCCCACCAAGAGCCCCTTTAGTCGCAAATGCCTGCAAAGACCCTTTCAGTCTTTACTGTCGATTGTCTCGAAGTTCCCATGGTTTGCTGTGGATTTCTACACCATCGAACAGCGGGATTATATCTACCAAGCTCTTCTTTCCGCTGTTGAGATCTTGAAACGCCACATCAAGAGAGGGAAAGCTATGCCAAACTTGGATCAAGAGTTGCTCAAGAGCCTTGTGAGGGTGGGTGCTATGTGTTCTGGATTCACCGATGTTCAGAGACACGAGTTGGTCAAAATAGCAGAGTTCGGAGCAGAAGGTATCTACTTGGAAGAAATTATGCCTGGCTTTCACATATTTCGCGCTTTGGGGAGGAGACCGGGTGCCGATCGTAAGATGCTTGAGGTTTGCACCCTCCGTAAAAACCTCTAGCTTCCTGATCTAAAATTGAGCCTAGTTTTATGCCCTGATCTTGCAGCTCGCTGGCCACTCCTTCTTGGAGCCAGCAGCCAGCCCCGGAGATAGTGCAGAAGGGGCTATGAACCCGGGCAGGGCTCAGATGACTATGGCCGAGGCTTCCGAACATGAATGGCAGGCTGTTGTCGGTGGTGTTAGGAGCGTCTTGCCTCCAAAGCTTTATCCGAGAGTTCAGAGCAACATCGGTTGGCGCGAAGGGTATCTTGCATAGAATCTGCTTTGGAGACCCTCTGCACCATATGGCGACTAAGTTGGGTTTCTTTTCCAGCATTTCCGCTTGCTTTTTTCCCCTCCTTTTTCAATCAATCATCTATTCTTACAGTGGCTGTCATTGCGGAATATTAGTTGCACTCGTGATTTTAATGTTGATCGGTTCCAGGGGGAGTACTGATGGGGGGAAGAGTTATGATAAAATGCCTTAGGAGGCTTTCACATGATTTGTGGAGATTGCATCATGTTTTCGATGGTTCTCAAGTAAACACGAAAAGAGATACTAGTTGATGATATTCTGTCACGACTCAATTGTAGCCGATTACTCCGCCATGGTTCTGCGGCAATAAATGAAAATTTTATAGTTTTTTATGATACGTGCTACACCTACGTAACTGTTCTTGCTCACAACTTTCTCGTATATTTCTCATCACTTCCTCAGGCACGTCTTCCCTTTACCATGAAAACTTCTCTTTCCGCTTTGACACCCTTCCCTGATCCATCATCGTGCCCAAGGAAGGTAATAGCCTTCCCACGCTCCCCGTTTGGCCCGACATCAACAAAGTCAACCTCTACCAAACCTGTGCCCTCGAACACTTTTCTCATGTCCTCCTGGGAAAAGCCACCGTGTGCCACAGTGTCCTGCGCACATAACCCGGTAGCGCTTTTCCCTCGGTTCCCGTGACCCGAATGCTGGTGCCCCCCATGATGGGCTTGTCCTCCGCAGTTTGCGGTGCGATCGGGGGGTGGCAGGTGTGGTTTGAAGTCTATCACCAACAAAACACCAGAATTGGGCTTCAAACGCTCAGCGAGCCGCGTCGTAGCCAGTTGGACATTCTCGAAGTGGTGAAATGCGAATCCACACACAACAACATCGAAATTATTGTATTCAGGATTCGATAGAGAGGGGTCAAGCTTGTCCGCGCAGAGATCGGCCACAACGGCGCGCATTTCTTCCTCGGGTATGCCTTGGTTCTTAACCTGGACTCAATAGTTAGGGCATAGTGACCCGGCGATAGATATTTGCGACATTGAAACCTTTTCGTTGAACTTTCCAACCATTTTTTCAGATATGTCCATCCCGACAATCTGCTTTGTATATGGTGCAATAATCTGGTTCCACATATCAGTTTAGGTCGTTTGGGCGGTTTGGCGGTGTTGGCCCACCTGAGAGATCAATCCAGTCCCACAGGCATAATCTAGTACACGAGTAGTGTTTTCGTCCCACTCTGCACCAGACCATTCTCGGCGAAGGAGTATGTTTTCCCCAATTATATCCGTAATATTGGAAGCTTTGGCTCGAGCGTCATACTCGTCCGCGGTATCACTGCTTGGGTTAGTTTGCGAGAGAAGGAGGGGGGGAAGGTGGGGCTATGCGTACTTGAAGTACTGCTTGTTAACTTCTGCGCTGCCTTGTGCTATTGTTGATTGAGTAGATTCCATTTTTTTGAACCTATTGTAATCTGTTTTTGGTACCGAAAAGCGATAGCGATTTTGTCGTGGAGTCTTGGGGGGGGTGAGAGGAGCTTAATCTATATGCACCGCACGCAAGCTTTCTTGGACGGGCTCTGCTGATGGTGGGGGGCTGATTGCCGGGACTTTTTCTGTAATTCCAGAGCTAGGCGAAGGATGCATCCGCCGGAACTCTGTGAGTTGGCGAGTGCATAATATGTGGCCTGAATAGAATAACTTGTTTGAAGGATCTGCCGGTGCTGGTGTTGTGCTGTGCCCGAAGCAGTTGCGATTCGATGGCGAAGCAGGGCCGATCACTAATAGTTCTAAACTTAGACCAAGGGTCATCTTTATCATAATAGCGATATCATTTTCTGAGAATGGGTCATTTAACGCAAAACCGCTCCGTGCCGTGTAACTGAGCTCTTCACGGTGGCCAAAGCCTCTCCATCCGTATGCTGTATACCGGTACCGTACTTCCTGCACCAGCGCTAGCGCTGACATAGCACACATATCAATAACCGGTTACGAGTATGATACCTGTTAGTTTTTTATACGTCGACTTAGTTTTACACGTACTCGAGTACGCTTCACGGTACGGTAACTATTACGAGCTATTTCTTGGGTATTTAACAAAGTGGCCAACCTGGGTTGCGAGGTTCAAGGTGCGGTCGGTACGGCAGCGCGTTATTGCTTACATGGTGCAAATTGTCCACTACAGGATACCGTACGAGTACATGGTTCTTGGGGACCCTGGAAGAGCGATGTGTGAGGGACTTGGGATACCGGTAGACTATAATTGCTCGTTCAGGTGCACCTTATGTTGATGGCCGCGGGCGGGATTTCCTAGATTTAGTGCATATAAACATATTGGCATATTGCCGAGTGATATGGAATGATGCTGGGCTGCGCCAAGACTAATCAGGGCATTTGCCCTGACACAGTCCCCGCCCCGCACCACCTTGGGGTGCTAGCACACACTACAGATCTTGAATTCCTGGAACTACTCGTATCTGTAACCAACAAACCGCACTTGCGCCCCTCGATAACGGTCCACAAACGCGCACTCTACGAAAACAACAAACATGGCTGATACCGAATATGTGAGTTCTCCTTCCCCACGAACCGGTGGAATTATGGATAGCTAAGAGAAAGTTCAGGACGCCGTTGAGGCCGCTGGTACGGATTCACCGGGAGGGATGGGATTGATGAAGATACACGGAGACTGATATGGATGGGTATATAGAGAAGAAGAAGGCGAGAACCTTCCGCAAGTTTTCCTACCGTGGAGTCGACCTCGACCAGTTCAGTTGCCCGAGTCTTCAAACAACATTCAGCATCGACTAACGAGACTATTTATAGACTCCTCGACCTTTCCTCCGAACAGCTCCGTGACCTCGTCCACGCCCGTGCTCGTAGAAGGTTCAACCGTGGCCTTAAACGCAAGCCTATGGGCTTGATCAAGAAGCTCCGCAAGGCCAAGAAGGAGGCCAAGCCGAACGAGAAGCCCGACCTTGTCAAGACTCATCTTCGCGACATGATCATTGTCCCTGAGATGATCGGATCGGTCATTGGTATCTACTCTGGAAAGGATTTTAACCAGGTCGAAATTAAGCCGGAAATGGTTGGACACTACTTGGGAGAATTCTCTATCACCTAGTACGTTTACCTGCGCACATTACGACCTTTTGTATCAGATCATGAGACTCCACTGGCTCTGCTACCGTTATAGTGCTCATGGCTGAGGTTTATTTAATGCTAATTTTCGTATAGCAAACCTGTCAAACACGGTCGCCCGGGTATCGGTGCTACCCACTCCTCAAGGTTTATCCCGCTTAAATAAACAATTTCTTTCTTTCTTTGTGTAGGGAAGCGGAGGGGACTGGATGGCGTGTCATGACATGAAGTTTTTCTGTGTTGTGTGTATATGAAATAAAAAAATCATTGGGTCACCGAAAGGTTTAATGGACACGGGGGGTCTTTATACAACAAAGTCTGTTGTGGGGATACGATACCTTTGGTCCGTCTTGTTTAATAGCTTGTTTTCCTGAAAACCAACTTTCCTGTTCTGGGACTGGAAGTATGTATTAGGGTGCGTCTGGTTGCTATGCCAAACCTTCGTTTTGACCAGGATTATAGAGGTTTGCAGCAAAACTCTATTTTGATCTGGAGTGACATGTCAAAGTTCGTCGTCAACCTCAGATCAATGTACTTAGAAAACTATAGCAAAAATGCCTGATCCTACTATTTCCCAATCTTTATCTCTATTTACTCCTATGATGATGTGCAATGTAGGTATTATTATTGGAATCTATGCAAGTTTACAGTTTGACAACGAGCCTTGCTGGACCTCACCATTGAGCAGAAAGGAGTATGTTCATAAACTAGTTACCTCTAATAAATACCACATTTATGAGGTTTTATAAATGCAAAAACAGACCTTTGTTGACTTGTATAACTGAATGATCTCATATGCTGGGCTGTAGGAGAAGAAAAAAAAATCTATAGAGAAACATCTACTACATCAGTAAAAATAAAAGCTTATACCCTATATACCCTGTATGTCAGATATACTAAATATATAAAATGTAAACCATTACTCAGAATACAAGTATAGGTAGGCTCAAACTCAGGACACAATGGTTCTTAGTATCACCACTCAGGATGTGGTTGAAATACAACTAAGCACTATCTTAATTTTCAGAACGTAATTAAATACTCTTATAATTTTCAAAATGTAAATATGCACTACTACAATTCTCAGAATAGAATACCTCAGCTGGACCTTATAATCTAAGTTATACAATATGTAGATATTGTGAGCTTCAAAATAGAGAATATTACTAGTTATATTGATTTGATTTTTACATAGTCTAAATAAAGAAAAGCTTACTAAGTACTTAGTAACTAGCATGCAAATACCATTTCTATAACAGGTTGTAACTCTATGGATAATGGTACTAAGTAGACATTCTGTATACTATTGAAAGACTAGTGCTATTAGTGTTTAGAATTTTAGGATATATAATAATATTATTATGTATTATATTATATTATATTATGAAATAATTTGTCAAATATATACTAGTAGTATAATATTATAATATATGTATTTTTGATTACTCTAGCTTCAACACCTGGTGGCCCTCAGAAGGTCAAGCAGAAGCTAGTTGAGGTGTTACTCATAGTATAGAATACAATACCCTCTGTTTTTTTTTGAGTCTTTGTGGAGGTCAATGCCTGACTGGGTTCAAGCTGTATTACAGCAAAGGAGTGGTACACAAGATACTAGCATTTTTTTTTTTTAATTTTTATTTATTTATATGTAAAGGCTGGTCCTAGAATTCATTCTCTTTAATTTCATGTCATTTCAAACTTTGCTCACTGAGTTATTGCAATTTCTTTACTCTACGGTTACTGTTGTTGCAATTGTTGAAATAAGCGATTACCGAGACTTTTGAGTAGGTGCTTTACTTCATCGTACCAATATGTATGATATGTTACATGGCTATTTTCATTCTCCGGACGAAATTGAACTGCTCTGACATACCTCCTCCCGGCCCAGCCTCAGCTAAGCCTATCACCTTTCGGCCTCTTATACACTGTTGATGCCTCGTATTTGCTCTTCCCGTTGATCTCCTGTTCTTTCTGTGGTTCCTGTCTTGCCGGAGCAGGATCGTTACAGCTTTCGGCCGATGGGTGTCCAGCGGGATCGTTCCCGGGATAGAGTATATTGTCTAGTCACGGTCAGTGAGTATAGTGGCATATCCCATATAGTGGGTCAGGTCAGACATTGTTGTTGCTGCAACTGCTGACGTTTCAAATGCTTCTCTCGTCGGTCTGCGTTAATTTGCCGTTTGGCGAAGTAGTAGGCCCCACCGCCAGCTTGCAATTGTCAGTTCTACAGTTTGACTACGGTAGGTGAGAGAAGAGCATACCGACGATGAGAGATCCCCAGCCGATCCTGTAGATGTTAGCTATTACTCACATATTTGTGAGAGGTTGAGTGGAGATACCAAAACGATTTTACCTGGTGCGTCATTCTCGGTCTGTCTATCTTGATATTTTGAAGGGTCGAGGATTTCTATACTTACTGTGTTCATGATTAAGGCTCAGGGTATATTACCAAGTTGTGGTTGCTGAATTGTAGGTGTTTTTGGTGAACTCTGACGGTTCCCGTCCGACGACCGGTGTTTGAGGCAAAAATAAAAGGCATCTGAATACCCGTGCTTTTTTGTCAGTGTGGCTCGTTTGATGTCAGACTACCCGCTAGTGCTTGGCACAAAAACAATCCCATTGATTTTCCTGAAGTTACCCTGTAGTTGCACCGCCACCGAGTGCACTGCCACCAGATGCCACCCTTGGGCCTTCCTCATATTGTTCCTTGCTTCGACTCATCCTGATATCTGTCTCAACACAGTGACATGGGAGCCTCAACTACTCTTTCCTCCCAACCTCACCAACAAAAATCTTTACCGCGAACACAGAACATGCCTCCAAAACGCAAGGCCGGTGCAGCTGGAGGTTCTTTTACCTCCGCATCCGCCTTGATATACCGCTGACAGTGCTATATTCATAGGGACTACAGCTGTCACTACTACATCTGCAGCTACAAAACGCTCTCGGCCAGCAACCCCAGCAGTCGATGTGGATACCAGCGATGAGTACTCGGATGACGAAGAGATAGAGAATACAGAAGAGGGTCGAGCTATATCTAGTTAGTCTTCACTATTCTTCTGCAGGCAACGACTGACACGCCCTCTCAGAGGTCGTCAACGCGTTTAGTTTGGATTTAGCTCCCAAAGGTAACGACGTCATCTCTAAGAGAGATTCGGTATCCTACATATTCAGCAAGCAGGATTTCAGCTATCTGAAAATGAAATCGGATCATGAATCTCGCCCGCTATGGATTAACCCGGAGTCTGGGGTTATTGTGCTGGAGAGCTTTTCGCCCTTGGCTGGACAGGCGCAGGATTTCTTGACTACGATTGCGGAGCCCTTATCACGACCAACTTACCTACACGAGTATAAACTTACGCCCCACTCGCTATATGCAGCGGTGTCTGTGGGTTTAGACCCAAACGATATTATTTCGGTCATGGACCGGCTTTCTAAAATACCTGTGCCCCCAAAGATTATCGACTTTATCAAGAAGTGCACTAGCTCATACGGGAAGGTCAAATTGGTCCTTAAGGAAAACAGATACTTCGTAGAGAGCACCGATCCAGCCATGTTACAGAGACTATTGCAGGATCCAGTTATTGGACCATTGAGGGTTCAAGGTGAAGGCGGGTCCGGTATTACAAAGGAAAAGGCACCACAGATGGGGGCATTGGTCATACCCGGTACTAGAAATGCTGCGGGTGCAGCAAACGTCAATAACCAGCAAGGTGGACCCGCCGAAGTTGCGGTAGACGTAGTTGAAGATCTGTTCAACTCGGTTACTGGACTCGGAGAGGACGAGGAAGGAGAGGATGAGGAAGACGAGGATGCGGTTCATTCGTTTGAAATTCCGGCGGATGATGTGGAAACTGTACAGAAGCAGTGCTTGGATCTAGGATACCCGGTATTGGAAGAGTACGACTTCCGTAATGACAGGAAGAATCCCAACCTAGATATGGATCTCAAGCCTCAAGCACAAATCCGCTCATACCAGGAAAAGAGCTTGAGTAAAATGTTCGGCAACGGGCGCGCAAAGAGTGGCATCATCGTGTTGCCTTGTGGGGCCGGGAAGACTCTAGTTGGGATTACTGCTGCGTGCACCATTAAGAAGAGTGTGGTCGTGCTAGCTACCTCCTCGATGAGCGTTGTACAGTGGCGACAAGAATTCATCAAATGGACAAATATAAACCCAGACGCTATTGCCATATTTACTTCTGAAAGCAAAGAGAAGTTCCGTGGCGACGCCGGTATCATTGTATCTACCTACTCTATGGTAACTAACTCCCGTAACCGCTCCCACGACTCTCAAAAGATGATGGACTTTCTCCAGTCACGGGAATGGGGTCTTCTCATTCTTGATGAAGTGCACGTCGTGCCAGCCCAAATTTTCCGTAAAGTAGTCCATTCTGTCGCTACGCATTCAAAGTTAGGACTTACGGCTACTCTTTTACGTGAAGACGATAAGATCACCGATTTGAACTTTCTGATCGGTCCGAAACTTTATGAGGCAAATTGGATGGAGCTTGCGGAGCAAGGTCACATTGCTAAAGTTCAATGCGCGGAAGTATGGTGTCCTATGACCCCAGAGTTCTACTCTGAATATCTCCGGGAACCGGATGCCCGCAAGAAGGTCCTCCATTATATCATGAACCCTCGGAAGTAAGTCACTTCCCCTCTACGTGCTTTTTAAGTTTCCACTAAACACATCGGTATCAGGTTCCAAGCAACACAATTCCTCATAGACTACCACGAAAAGCGAGGCGATAAAATCATTGTCTTCTCGGATAACGTTTACGCTTTGAGAGCTTACGCTCTGAAACTCAACAAAGCCTTCATCTATGGCGACACGCCCCAGCAGGAACGCCTTCGCATTCTCGAAAACTTCCAACTCAATGATCAGGTAAATACTATCTTCCTTTCAAAAATAGGCGATACCTCCCTCGACCTCCCAGAGGCTACCTGCCTGATCCAAATCTCCTCCCACTATGGTTCCCGAAGACAGGAGGCACAGAGACTGGGTCGAATCCTCAGAGCAAAGCGCAGGAATGACGAAGGTTTCAACGCCTTTTTCTATTCTCTCGTCTCAAAGGACACGGCGGAAATGTATTACTCGAGCAAGCGCCAGGCCTTCCTTGTCGACCAAGGTTACGCTTTCAAAGTCATCACGCACCTTCAGGGCATTGAACAGTTGCCGGGCCTTGCGTACGCTACCGTTGCCGAGAGGAAAGAGCTCCTCGCGGAGGTGATGCTGCAGAACTCGGAAGCCGGGCAACAGGAAGGTGATGACTTTGACGGGGCCAAGCTGTCTTACAACGCGGGCAGGAAGGGCGCCAAGTACCGGAGAACCACCGGGAAGCTTTCGGAATTGGCGGGTGGAGACGGCATGGCGTATATCGAATACAATAGGAGTAGGAACAAGGAGCTCAAGGGCAAAGGCCAGTCGAGTGCTTTCTTTAAAAAGATGCACAGGGAAAACGAGAAGAGACGGAAGGAACAGAATGCTCTGAAGCCCTAAAACTATTCCCTTGTTTCCTCTCCCCCCCTTATTTCTCGCACATTCTTCCCTTTTTTTGTTTATCTGATGTGGGGGTGCTGAGTTAAGTCTCCTTGGCTTCTAATTGTGTAAACACGTTATGCCTCTCCCAAATACCAAACAAATTTTGGGCGCATAATGAATAGGATATGGCTGGGACGTCGGCGCCCGTTAACGGCTTCTACTCAACGGCACTATCATTTTGTAGGTAGATATCGCCGGCTATTAAGTTCGTGCTCCGTATTATTTATTCCATATCTGCCGGCGATGAACGCACTTGCACACTTAGTCGAGACCTCCGGATACAGTACGATCAGTGAACCCTCGCGATATTAAAATGTTTGCGTTCTGCAGGTTGCCTATCTCCCCGATCCTTGCGTTGTTGTCTCAAGGTCCGCTTTGGAGTACCGTACTGTACAGCACAGTAGCGGTAGCGCCATTTCCAGTTTACCCAGGTAATGCGGTATCGCACCCGGATGTGAGGGTGTTTTGGGTGCCGCCGAAAACCCACCCAATTTTTTCACTTAAATGCCACTATATCAAGCTGCAAACCCCGTTGGACACGCCGAGAAGTGGAGCATGATACGATGCCTTGAGCACTAGCCACAATCCTTCCCATTCAATTATTTGCTTACCATATTGGCAGTGAGACCTCATTCAAACAGGTAACTTAGGAATGTTGAACACTTTACACGAACACGTATAAACACTTCTGATAAGTGGGTGTATTTGGGGCTGGAAAATAATACACGGGCCTGAATAAAATAATGAAAAAAAGAAACCGGTCACTACCAGCTATCCACCCAGGCCCCAGCCACTACCTCCTGCCATCGTGTAGGGGATTTTTGTATTTTATTTTATTTTACTTTTTTCATCTTGGTCAGGGTTTTTGACAAACATAGTCTTTACACCCTTCCATGGACTCCTACACATGTACATGCTTGTATATCTCCCATTCTACTTGCCTTGACTCCCATGCTAATTAAACAAAAGACAAACATCACAGCTTCTTTCAAAGTCTTTTGGCTTTTCCTGTCACTCCTGCCTTTCTGCTTTACTCCCCGCTTTCCTTTAGGTAGATTCAAAGTCTCTATACTTTTCTATCGAAATCCTTTCCTGAAAGCCAAAACAAGTCCAAAGAAAAACTGGAGGAAACCACCCGGGATGATGTAGAACTGTAGAGCTCTGCTGGAGACTGCAGGGAACTACCGGAAACAGCATGGGTCGGCAGGAAGGCCTGCAGGGAGGGGTCTATGGGGGAGTCTGGGAGGGTCTGCAGGTGTCTATGGAGGGGTTCGGGGGTGTCCAGAGGAGTGTCTGGGGGGGGGGTCTGCGGGTGTTTGTGGAGGGGTTCGGGAGTGTCTGTGATGAGGTCTGGAAGGAGCCTGCAGAGGGGTCTGTAGAGGGGCTGGTGGGGGGTCTGCGGGGGGTCTGTAGGGAGGTCTGTAGACAGGTCTAAAAGAAGCCTGCAGAGGGGTCTGTGGGGGGTCTGTGGGGGGTCTGCAGGAGTCTGTTGGAGGATATAGTAGCTATTGGGACTCCGGAGGTCTGTAGTATTTAATACTTAGTGAACAGGCCATTCGTATCAATGACAGCCTGACACCTGGCTTGTATGCTTTCAATAAGCTCCCAGAACTCATGCTCTCTAATATTTTTCTAAGCTGTCTTTACTGCTGCTCTTAACCTATCATAAGTCATATTTCAGGTTAATTATCCTGTAAATAGCTCTTTATGATATGCTACACCTTTTCAATTGGATTCAAGTCCAGTAGAAAGACAGGCTACTGAATAATCTCCATTCCTCTCTTCTTAGGCTCGGTTGTAGTATCCCTCAGCTGTATGTCCTAGTGCTCCATGGTGCATGAGCATCAAATATATTCTATCTCGATGCCATAATTCTATATATCTGTAGTTACACAGAGAGGCATAATGGGTGTGGCACGTGACTAAATGTATAAACTCACGTGTTTGACCCCAGGCCCTGCCATAGATATTGTAACGATATCATATTATCAAACTGAACGATAAGGCATCTATGCAGCCCAGTCCATAGAGATATGAGGTATGTGATGGAGAGGTTTTCACTAGATACCATAGAAGGAGCTGTGCTCTACAAGATAAGATTTAGTTGGTTCAGATTGGTCAGTTAGTTATAGAGCTACAACCTCTGTAAGGCTATATGCTGTTACGAGAAGTAATATGCATGCCCCCTCTAGCTTGCGTGAACTAGAGTCATCCAGAAGACTAGTTCACGATTGGTTAATAACAACTCACTAGTCAAGTTAGTTATTTTCATCATGTACTCTAAGCTATGTATATAGAAGAGTTATTAATAAGTCCTTTGATAGAGCTGATCACTCTACTCAGGAAGAGAGCAGAGAAGTTAGTATTCAGGGTCAAATGGAGTTTGTACTTCAAAGATACTGAATTGTTAGTATGGCAGGTACACAGTCAGTAAGGGATTGGATGTAGGCCATGACCACCCAGATGCAGAATATAAATATTGAGGTGCCTTCTTAGCCTTAAAGTCATCCTCTGTCTCCGCTACATCTCCGGTGATTGAAAACTCAATACCATGGTTACTATCGTAGCTTTCATTGTCTAGCCCTACCACCCTCCCCCTCCATCTCCCCCCATCTAGCCTTGGCTACAGGAGGTGGGCTCGCTCCCCCTCTCCCTTGAGGCCTTTATTTATTTATTGGCTCTCTTGGTTCTATCCTTGGTTGAGGTCTTTCATCTTTGCGATGTTTCTCCTCTTCCTACCCTGCCTTGCTTAGGCGTTGGCACGGTCGGCAACCCCCTTTTCCACCTTCAACAGACGGCTGGGACTACAGTTGCAGTAGGAGAGAACAGCTTACAGGCTATGGTCAATCTCTCCATTCTCTTGCTCCCGTAAGAGGCTGCCTAGTCGGACATGAATGCGATTACCGATAGTTGTTGTTTACGGATTTGGGTCTACCCCTCCTCTCCTCTTCTCTATGGTCGGATCGGCTGGCACCCTACTGCCACCTCCTTTCAAGCTGGCAACTTACTGCCACAATCGTCAATTGTCCCGGAGGGCACACGGTTGCTGGCACGCCTGCCACATACCTCCTCTCCTCACTTCTCGGTCGCCGCCTTCGGGGTGGTTTCCCTTATACTCTTCGTATCCAGGACTTCGGCTCCCTCCTCCTGGCCCTCGTCATATGGCCTAGGGGTTTCTATATTGGATTTGAGTTGTGATTGTTAGCCCTGAGGGGTTCAGTTTGGGTTTCTGCCTTTAGGTGGTTCATTCTTGAGGTTTTGGCGGGTTCTTGGTTCACTGTCGAGTAGTTAGCTTTCTTTTGTCGCTTGGTGGTAGGGGTTATTGGATGAAGCAGTTTATGGGAAGGATTACAGGTGGGAGTAGTTTTTTCTACCCCAGAGGGTTCTTTTAGCTCTGTCGTTTGGCCTGGTCCGGGAGGGGGCAGTTTTTTAGGCGTCATAGCTAGTGCTCCATATGCCTTTTTGTCCCATAAACAAAAATTTAAATGAGTCAAACAAAAAACAAAAAATTCTTAGCTTTAAAGTGACATGTCCTTTTCTGTGCCCAAGACCAAGCTTACCCACTGGAGGACTCCTAGGGACATCTGCAAAAATTATTTCTGCATCAGAGGTACGGGCAGTATGTTCTGATGCAAGGGGGCAGGATTTTGTGTCTAGTGCATCCTGTGCATCTGGTACTCGGGTGCCAAGTCTGGTTGCATCCGGTGCATCCTACTGTTTATGTTAGGATATACCATGTCCAGATTGTATCCTAACTAAGTGATCTTACCTAGTTACTATCCTGAGATTCCAAGTGATAGACACAGCTGCCAGCCACTTCCCCTTAACCACCCCCCTACTGCCTCCCCCCTACTGGCTCTCCCCCTACCACCTGCCCCTTTACTCACTCACCCTACTCTCTCCCCTGCATTTCAGACTTTGTTGTTTACTTTGCCTACTTTGCCAAGTTAGCAAGGTTTTGGTTAAGGGCAGGGTTTGACACAGGATTCTTCAGGTATCCTTGAAGTGCGGCATCTTCTACTTAGCAGCCTGGGTCCACTTAATGCCAGCTTTCCCAATGTTACCTTGGACTCTTCCCGGTGCTAATAGTGATAGAGCTACAGCTTGTTATAAATGTCTTTACCCTGGCAGAGTACTGGTGGAGGGCTGACTTAGACGCTGGATTGCCTGGGCGTCCTTTGGATGCAGTATCTGATACTCGGTAGCCTGATTCTATATGATGCCAGCTTTCCAGCAGTACCTGGGATGTCTACCTGGTGCCAATATTGGTAGAGCTACAGCCAGTTATGAAAGGGGTCTTTACCCTGGCGGAGTTCTGGTAGTGTGCTGGCAGAGTGCTGACTTTGACGCCAGATTGCTTGGGCATCCTTTAGACAAAGTATCCGATACTCAGGAGCCTAATTCTACGTGATGCCAGCTTTCCACTGGTATCTTAGATGTCTACTCTATACTCATATTGGTAGAGCTACAGCCAGTTATGAAAGGGGTCTTTACCCTGGTACAGTTCTAGCAGTGTCCTGGCAGAGTATTGACTTTGACGCCAAATTGCTCAGGCATCCTTTAGGCACAGTATCTGGTACGCGGGAGGCTGATTTTACACGATACCAGCTTACCAACAGTATCTCAGATGTCTACCTTGCGCCAATATTGGTAGAGCTACAGCCAGTTATGAAAGGGGTCTTTACCCTGGCAGAGTTCTGGCAGTGTCCTGGCAGAGTGCTGACTTTGATGCCAGATTCTTCAGGCGTCCTTTGGGTACAGCATCTGATACTTTGGGGTCTAATACCACGCGATGCCAGCTTTCCAATGGTATCTGTGATGTCTACCTGGCACCAATATTGATAGAGCTACAGCCAGTTATGAAAGCAGTCTTTTGATGGCTTGATCTCAATAGCTGGATGTAGGGGAAACTGTATAGTGCTGATGAGATGTATGGGGGAGCATGGTTGTATGTATTAGGGCTGTGGGTCCCTACTTAGTTTGTGTGACTATATTGTATGTTGTTAAGGGAACCAGCCCTATTAGTGGTGGCTTTCTCTCTTGTTTGTATTTAGTCTTCTCTCGGACCTTCCAATTGACGACAAGAATGATGCCTCTCTCCTCACCTTCGGTCTTCATCCACTCTGTGATTCTATTGTCCTTCCTCCACTGTGCCGTGTCTCGCCATCATCTTTACCCTAACAGAGTTCTGGTTGAGTGCTGACTTCGATGTCAGATTCCTAGGGCATTCTTTGCATGCAGTATGTGATACTCGGGGGCCTGATCCTCA